CCACAATGCCCAGCTATTTTTAGAGGTGGAGTCTCACTCTTGCTCAGGCTTGCCTGGAACCTGTGAGCTCAGGCAGCTCAGCCTCCCAGAGTGTTAGGATTACAGGCATGAGCCACTGCGACTGGCCTTACATAACATTTATTGAACAACTTGCATAGTAGAGTACAACCAGAGTTCTAGGATATTCAGAGAAACCAAGAATGGTCAGAGGCATATAGAATCCCAGTTATGACAGTATTAAGCTCAGAAAATCTGTTGAAAAGAGGAAAAACAAGATACAAAAGGCTAGGCATCCAGTAAATAGCTCATACAGTCCCTGGAGCTCTCCCCTTACACCTTTTAGCAATTTTATTGTTTTTTAAATTAAGAAGTCTTCAACCTCTTAAAACGATGAAAGGACAGTGATAATGGCCAAAGCAGAACTGATACAGATTAAACTGGTCCTATTCATAAACAAATTCTGAGAACTTAATACCAGCATGCCAAAGGAAGGCTGGAATAATTAAAAGGATGACTCACCAAAAGGTGTAAGTTCATTCTCTTGCTAACTAGCTATATGAACAGAAAGGAAATAGTTTATTGCCCTGTATCTCTCATTCTGCATTTATAAAATAGGGATAAAGCATGTTTTCCCTTACAGACTTCTCAAGAGCCCAGCTGAGGGATAAATGCAATTAGCCAAATTTACTACAGAAAGGTTAAAATACATACAATATATGCAAAAAACATGACCAAAATGGGCTTATGTCCTGCTTTTAAAAGGAGAATTGAGGAAATGAAAAACCCTTACAGCCAAAAACAGACAACAATTCTGCCCCCAGACTACCTACCTTTTTCTCCAGGTACAAGCCATCCACCAAAATTAGCTGGAGCTTATTCAGATTCTCTAACGGAAAGATAGGGTAAATTTGGAGCCTTTCATAGCTGTTTGCAGTCCTCAGGTTTAACATGCTCAGGAATGTCCTTAAGAAAAAAGACATGAAAGAAAAAAAAATTAAAAAAAAAATAAAGAAAAAAGACATAGTTTAGTAGGATACTAGGACATTAGTAGCATATCAAAACTGTTAAAAAAAAAAACCCAAGGAAAAAAAGTAGAAAATATAACCTGAAGCATTATAGATATGTGTGTCTTCTGTCTCTACTTTCTATCCTGTTTGGGCTCCCTAAGGTCATGTAATGAAAGTCTCTGTTAACATCACAGAAGGATTAGGCAAATAAAGACAAAAGAGCTACAGGAAAATATAGGTCAAATCAATACTCTCCTTAAGGGTTGACTAAATTTGTGGCTAAAGGTCATTCTGGTGCTTAAAATACTTCAATACAAGGTAGGAGAGCAGTTGCTACTATTGCCTGGAAGCGCAATTGTTGTGACCATTTTTAATAATTGGCTGTCTGTTTTTACTCTATATAGCAAAGGAGCTCACTAAAGCAGATCTAAGTCAATTGTGCAGCCTTGAAAGCACTTTGTATGGTTATGTTACGGTGTTAAATAGAAAGCACCAGGTATTTTAAACCTGGGGACCTTAAATGAACATAGGCTTCCAGATTCCTGATCAAGGATTG